GCATGGCAGGGTGCCGGACCGCCTCGGGAAGGCGGGCATGTGCTCCTCGAGAGGGTGGCTGCCCTCTCTGTGGGAAGAATGTGTGATTTAGACCCAGAGGGCATCCAGCCTGGGACTGGGGTAATGAGAATCACAGCTTCTGTGTTCTGTTCTTCCTTAGCTTTTTTTTTTTTTTTGCACTTGCATTAGCTTCAGGTTTGGGAGTCCGTTTTCTGTCCTTGGTAAATGTAACTTTCTAAGAGTTAGTTTCTGCCTCCCTTTCCCAGTGTTCACAGGTGCGTGTCTGTGTCTTCCCTGCCTTAATGTACTTACTTTGTTTTGTCTCCATGTCCCGTTCCCACCCGCGGCCTGTGTCACAGCCGACACAGCAGCATGAGCGTGGGCTCAGCCGGCCGTCCCGCTGCCCGCCTGCACAGGGTCGCCCTGCTCCTGTCCCCCAGTGGAAACAGGTAAAGGAACTGCCCAGGACCCAGGATGGGGCCGCCCCAGGCCTCTGCACTACAGCCCTGCTCCGCCAGGCAGCGCTGGGCTTATGCTTCAGAATCGCAGCTTGCACGCGGGCAAGGTCTGCCATCCGAGTCGTGGCTCCACACACGGCTCACAGGCGGTGCTGGTCTGGCTCTGTGTGTGTTCGGCTCCTTGGGATGGAGAAACCCATTCGGGCAGACTTGGCTCGAGAAGTGACTCCCCAAAGCTAGCTGTGTGGTGTAGCCTCTGTCCGGGGGCGACGGCCGCTCTGTCTCCCGTCTTGCCATGGGTCCCGTCACGCTGGTGTAGCCTCTGTCCGGGGGCGACGGCTACTCTGTCTCAAGGCCGCCGGAGAACTCTGGCTTTTGCAAACCTGCGAATTGGGCAGCAGAGGCTTTTGCAATGAAGAGGAAAATGTTCTCCAAGAAAATAGCCTTGAGCTGGGCTGTGTGTTTCAAACGCTGGACGGAGACGCTCAGGAGAGCTTTCTTGGTGTTTCGTCTACGTTTAAAATGCTCACTAATACCACTGTAGAATCCTCTAGAACACCACTTCCCCTCAGCAGCACAGAAGCAGGCAGGCAGGTGCCCCCGGTCTACGACAGGAAACCTGCCAGGGCTGGAGGCCGCTGCCATGTTTTGCCCCGTGTCCAGTTGGCCAGACTCCTGCGTGGAGGGGTGCAGCAGCCAGGTGCTAGGAGGGCCCCGGCCGGCAGCCTCCGCCCCCAGTACCCCCTCCCCTGACAGCCTCCCGGCCTCTTGTGCCATACGGTGACAGCTGTTGCTGGCGGGCACTGGGGTGGCAAGCTAGGGTGATTTCAGGACATTCAGGAAGATGTCCCACTCTGGCCTTGCTTGTTTTTTCTTTTTAGAAGTTACTTACTCCTCCTGTGAGTGACAGACAGAGGGATAGCACCCCACAGGGTCTCCACGCCGCCACTTGCCCCAACCTCAGCCTGCCTCCATGGGCACACACACCTGGCATCCACGGGGTGCCCACACTTAGATGGGAGCCTTCCCGTGGAGTGGCTTCGTGGTGTTTGTCCCTGCGCCCTGATAACGTGCTGCATTGTCAGTGGAGCTTGGCGGCCAAGGGCGATCTGGAAACCAGTTGCCAGGCCCCTCCTTGGTGCTCGCAGAGCTCTTCTGGGCAGTCAGTGGAAACTGACTTGGGTTTCCTTTCCTTGCCCTTTGCCTTGAAGTCTAGGTTGGAAGGGTTGATTTGAAAGGTCATCTTCAGTCGAGGATCCTAAAACTCTAGGCCCTTACAGTGCTCACCTGCGTTAGGAAGAGTGCAGGGAAGGGTGATCGGGGGTGACGCTCAGTGGGCCAGCAGGCAACCGCAGTCACGGCCCTGGAGCTGCTGTGGGCAGGCTTGCCAGGAAGCCTTCAGGTGGCGGGTGCGACCTCAGGAGCCCGGCCAGGCGGGGCCTCACTGTTGGGCTGAGCTTGGCCTTTGTGGGCTGCTTGGGTTCCCCTGATGTCTGAGAGCTTCCACTTGTGCCAGGCCTGTGTGGGGAGCATACCCCCTGACCCCAGGGGGCGGCCCACGCAGCTCATCATCGGGCGGGCCAGTCGGTGAGGCAGGCTCTCTTGGCAGCAGGCCCAAGCGTTACAGCCAGACCCAGGTCCCATGTTGTAGGCAGCAGGTGACGGGTAGGGAGTAGCCGGCTATCTGGGCACTAGGGCCTGGTCGCTGACTGCCCAGTCAGCAGAAGTCAGCCTAGTGGCCTGTGCAGAGGGGGTTACCCATGTGCCTGGCTAGGCGAGGTGGCCCTTGAACTCCCTGCAGTGTTCAGCCGTACAAATGTGTGACGTTTGTACTTAATCCCTCTCAGCATCGAAAGATGCAGTTGGCGCTCAGTGCCAGCTACTTCAGAAACTTGGGGCCCAGCCTCTGCTCTAGACCCACCCTGAGCTGGCCCCTCTCTGTCCTGCTTTAGAAAGGGGGTGACCATCAGCACCTCCTCAGTGGTTCCGACCAAGGCAGGGGGCATGGCAGGCACAGCAGTGCTGGCTTCCCGGGACAAGGACGAGGTGGAGCGCAGGGGATAGCGCAGGAGGGAAACGAGTACTCTGTGGCCAGAGCGTCCCTCTGCCCGCCTGTGTGAACGCGATGGCTGCTCTCTCCCCACCCTCCTGCTCTCAGTCTCCTCACCATGTCCTGCAGGCTACCCTGCCCAGGAGCCACCCAGGCAGACACAGGGTGTTGTGTGAGTTTAAAACAAACGGAGGAGGGACTAGCAGGTGGCGTGGTGGTTAAGGGTGCCGGGCTTCCACATTGCAGACCGTGGTTCGAGTCCCGGACCAAGTGGCTTACTTTCTCATTCTCTCTCTCTTGCTCTTGCTCTGTCCCTCTCTGGTCAAATTAAATAAATAAAGCTAAATAAAATATTTTAAAAAACAAACAGTGGAGCCATTCCCAGGCCTCCACCAGGCCTCATCCTCCCAGGTGTTCCTATGTCCCCACACGGGCATCCGGGCACAGAGAGGCAGGAGCCCTCTGCAAGGACTTGGAGAGGCCAGAATGTGTGATTATTTCTCAGATACCGAGGGACTTCCTAAGTCACAGACAGACTCACAGGAAGGGAGTGCAGTGGAGAGGGGCAGGAGGAAGGAAACCGCTGTGGACCATGGATGGAGCTCAGGTGGTAAAGCAGGTTTAGGTTTTTTTATTTTGCTTCAGGGCACGTGCGCTTGCCAGAAAGACAAAGAGAGACAGAGAGACAGAAAGCAAGAAATCACCCCCCAGAGAGGATGGCCATGCCGCAAGCCCTTCTCCTCCATTCTCCTCTTGGGCACACGTGCACACACACCTGGCATGAGTTTAAGCCACTGGGTCTAGGACTCAAACCGCGGTCAGCTACATGGGAGTCCAGTGACATAGCCATTACACTAACTGCTGGTCCCAAGCAGGTTTAATTTTTATAGCTAGTTTCCCGTCAGTCATGTATTTTCTTGACTTTTCTCCAGAACCTTCTGCATGTGAGTGAGTGGACCCTCCTGTCCCAGCTGGGCTCTGGTGCAGGCTGGCCTGCCGGCCCTTTCTGTTAGGGTCAGGGCCATTTCCTTTACCATCCGGTGTTCCCAACAGTCCTCCAGGCCCCTGGTGTGGAGGCAGTGCCACGGTCTAACCTGCTGCCAGATTACCTGCACAGCCAGTGCCTGCTGGAAAGTACAGCTCCCACCTGGAGCCGGAGAGAGGTCGTGATCCCGCTCTACACACAGTGCTTTGCCGTGGAGCGGGCAGGGCCAGCGAGGCCACCTGGGACACCTTCGATGCCCTGCAGCCCCAGCACTGGCCTTCCTCCAGCCGCTGTTTGAACAGTGTTCTCTCTGTTTGTGTCTGTCGGTGTAAAAGCGACGCGAGAAGGAGCGTTCTCGGACCTGCCCCAAAAAAGTGATCGCACTGCCTCCTCCCATCCAGGCGCGTGGGGGCCTACAGGTGACCTCTGCATGCTGCTGTCCTGCCTGTGTCGCTGGCTGCTGTAGACACAGGAGCAGTCGTTCCTGGTCCTGCGTGGGCATACTACTGTGTGGCTGGAAACTAAAACTTACACCGAGTTTGTCAGAGCCAAGCCCCAGGAGGCCCCAAAGCAGCACATTTTCGCAAAACCCCAGTGAAAGCAGCCCCTTTTGTCTTGCTGCCCGCCGAGCTGAAGTGAGGACGGGGACTCGTAGGAGTCTTCCCTCCTGATTCTGAGAACCTTGCTCCTGCTTCTGCTGACAGGCATCCCCCCTCCTCCCCGTCCGCCCTCGCAGGCAGGTTACCCAGGACTGCTCACAGAGCTAGCCACAGACAGGGACGGCAGGCAGCGGGCAGGCGTCTGTGGCGAGCACCCGGGTGCCGCCTGTTTATAAAGAGCTCTGGTGCCCTCTGGCGGATCCCGGTGAAGTGCAGCTCTCAGGGCAGAAGCTAAGGAAAGACATTTTCTCGGTGAGGCTGGGCTTATCTAAGCAAGGCAACCACTAGCAGTGTGTCTGCTCTCGGGTCACAGCCTGTGTCCACGGCCCAAGAGCTGAGCACTCTGGCTGCGCCAACTGCCCTGCGCTCTGCAGTAAAGGCCCGTGCTGGCGAGCAGCTCTGTCACAAGGCAGCGCTCAGCCCGTCCCACGTACAGTCCCGGTCAGCGCTCACAGCGCCACACCAGGCAGGTGCCTGCTGTCTCCACTTCCGGACCAGACTGACTCAGGGCAGCAGGCCACGTGATCGCACAGGGCCGCAGAGGGGAGCCGGAGTTGGTGTGGGCGCTGCAGCGTGCGCGAGTCTCCCCTAGGCTCCAGCCTGCTCCTGCCCACAGAGCCGGCACGCTCTCCTGCTCGATCGGAGCAGCCGTTTCCCACCAGTATGTGGCTGGTAGTTAGCCAGGAGTGAAGAGCTGGTCTTCCCTGCTCCCACGATCACTGGGCTGGCGGTTTCCTGGACAGCGAGACAGCCCCAGGCCCCTCGCCCACTTGCCCCTTTAGTGAGCTCTGCACTGATCCACGTTCCTGCTCAGGGAGGGCCACCCCACTCGCTACCCCTCCGGCCTATTGGAGCGGTCGTTCTAGCAGGCTTCTGCCTCCCTTTCCTTCTCTCCCCTGTGTCGTCTGTGGGGAGCTGCTCCTGTCTAACCGCCTCTCCTCTCTAGCCTCCCACTGAATGCCTCTGGTCTCACCCGCCGTGTGAAAGACGTTTGGCCACTCCATACTAACCATGGTGCTCCAGCTCTGCAGCTGCCTCTCTGGAGGCGGGTGGCAGCGTCGTCCTTAGGCCGTGGGTTGGGACATAGTTGGGGTCGCAGCTCCTCGGAGCGGGGATCAGGAGGGAGAGTGTGCTGAGATGCACTCTGAGTTTCTGTCACTGACTTTACTACTGTCACGTAGGAGGCCCAGTAGGACCTCCAGACGGAGCTCAAGTTTCTGATTTGTTGCCAACAGACGTACAGGGATCTCGGTGCTGGCAGCCGTGGCGAGCAGAGTCCCCGCCGGGAGAGGGTAAAAGAGCATGGACCCGGGGCACGGGGTGCCGAGCCATGCAGGGCGTGCCCCAGTGGTGGGGGCAAGAGCACGGGTGTGGGTGGGGCCCTGCCCTGCTTCGTGCACGCTCTTGTTACCCAGCCCCGAGCCAGAACTCTTGCTAGTGGCGCTGGCCTGGCAGACAGCACTCACTGTAGCATCCTCCACCTGACACCCCGCGGGCTGGGAAGGGTCTCAGTGACGTCCACGCTGCCTGCCTTTCCTGTCCCAAGACCGTAGCACCCCTACCCCCAAACATGCTGGTGGGAGAGCAACATTTGCCCACCAAACAGAAGGGTCCAGATCAGTAAGTAGGTCCCTGATCAGACAGTTGTGGACGTCGTAGTGGAAAGATGCACCCAGCCAGCCACTCGGACCAGCGTGGGAAGTTTGTGAGTATAAAGAGAGTGAGGGAGGTAGGGGCCGGCAGGCCGGGGTGCATAAGGAAAAGCTTTAGCAGTTTTTACTGGGAAACTCGGGACTGAGCAATTACGAGGCCACCGTACAGCTCGATGCGTGCAGAGGAGTGTTCCTGCCTTTGCAGAAGATGGCCTTGTGGGGCAGTTCTGCAGCTCGAGCAAGGTGTGGCCTCGAGTTGTTAACCACACATCAGCCCTCTTCTTACTTTACTCCTCTCTGAAATGCAGTTCTGGCTGAGCAGCGGGTCCAGTGCTTCTTGGATTCATTAGGAAGCTAGTCATGGGCCTTGTCTCCAGGCTACAGCTGGCAGGCCATGAGCTACCTTGGGTACCCCAGAGCAGCCCGGAGGTGGAGGTGGGAGCCCGGCAGCTGTAGTGCTCCCCATCAGGCTGCTCTGTCCGGTGGGCCCATGGACCCCAGGCATCCTGCCTTCTGTCCAGACCACCTTCCTCTTCTTTCAATGAGACAGGAGCCCCTGAATTGGGGGGGATGCACGCTTAATGAGCTGCTGATGCCCTTTAGTGAAACGATGCCTAACAGGAGGAGTAAGTTTAACAAAAGGCAAGGAGAAACAATTTGAGATCGGGGCAGGAGTGCAGAGGGGAAAGGTGTGGGTTTGAGCTCAGGAGGCAGGAAAGTCTGACGGGTTTTCATCCTTTCTCCCTGTGAGCTGTGCAGGGCCCAGGCTGGGAACACTTGCAGGGTGCTGTTCGTGTTCATTTCAGGCACGCCCTCTCTGCCCCTCGGCCTCACACGTGCACTCACCTGCTCTGTCTGACCTGCGCCCCCTACTCTCCGCCCCTCATGCCCTAGGGGTCACAACCCCGTTTTCTCACGTTTCCTTGTGGTGGGTGGGATCTTCTGCAGAGACCTTCCCCAGCTCCCCCTGGGGCCTGTGTTGCTGGCCGCACCCCGACTGCTGAGCCCCGGCCCAGTGAGCTGGCTAAGCATTTGGAGCAGAGACTGGGGAGGCACCAGGTAACCCCCCTCCGACTGTCACCCCCACCAAGCGGGGGAGCAAATGTGGACCGAATCAGGGCATGGTGGGTGTGCGCAGAGCAGGAGCCGAAGACTTCTTGTTTCTAACACTGTCCCTTGGGAGTTTGGCCCGAGCCTGGGGCAGCTATGCAGGGACTGTGGCAAAGCTGTGGCCGTGCTCTCGGCCTCTGGGGACTGGCAAGTTCGGGCCACACAGGCCTTCCTGTTGGGGGGACCTGGCCCACCATTGCTGCCCATGCTGTGGACAGTCTTCAGAGGCCTTCACGGCTTCCAGTCTTCTGACCAACATGGAGTTTGGCTCCCTGGAAGCTGAGCTCCGAGCACCAGCAGTGGACAGAAGGTGCCGTGCCTCTGGCCTTTATGTAGGGGTGAGCTTCAGCCCAGATTTGCCGTCTCTCGTGTCTGCAGTTTACGAGGCAAGTGGAGTCCCAGCCGAAGCTAGTGTGTCAGCGGGACCTCCACCCCGCCACATAGAGAGCAGCTAGCGGAAGACCAAGCGGGGAGGACGGCCTTCCTAGGTGGCCCAGCTGCGGCTGCCTCCAGAGCCAGCGTCACCATGAGCTCAGGGAACCTGAGTAAAAAGCAAAACACAGGCCCAGAGTGACCACGCGTGCCTCTGGGAACTCGAAGTACTTCACTCGCTATTAGATGGGGTCTGGAGTAGACAGTGGAATTGCCACGTTGCTTAGGTTGGGCCCTGCGTGGCTTGTAATTTAACACTTCCTTGCGTGTTTTCTCCCCATCTTGTTTTATAGCCAGAGCCTGAACCATCCCGCGGGTTCTTTGCTGACCAGTGGGAACTTTCTCTTAGTCTCCGCTCCTCCAACCGCTTCTTCTTAGCCCCCCCCCCCCCACCCGCCCCGCCTCTCCCTCTTCCGACTCCCTGCGACAGGTAGCATGGTCTGGGCTTGGCAGGGCCGTGTCTCCCGCAGCCACTGCTCACCGCACTGTCACAAATGCCAGTGGTCCCTGGAAGGCTGCCAAGTTCTCAGCTTTGGTCTGTCTCCAGTACAGGCCATGCGTGTGTACATGCGCATGTGCGTGTGCAAGGTGTGTACGCAGACACCAGAGTCAGAGGCCGCCAGCTTTCACCCAGCTGTGTTTAACACCTCAAATTCTGTGGAAGCAAGCCCACCTTATGCTTTAACTACATCAAATAATGATGAGCACCCTTCAGCCTTTGGTTTTGTAACCCGATGTCTTCCTAATACCGTGTGTTACGAAGTTTGCACTATGATATGGTGACATCTCTTAAATGGGGGGGGGGGGGGGGGGGGT